TGATTGGATGACATGAAACTGTACCTAGTCGTGCATGGATTGTGGTCACGGAAGTCTGGATCACCACAACAAGGTACCATTGTTTTTGTTTACCTTGTGCTCCGGTCCGTCACCCTTTACACTTTCCTGCCGCATTCGAGACCAGCGTATGGTGGTGTTAATCGATACCGGAGAGACCTGCTCTATACTTCGAACCGAACTGGTGGAAGACATGCAACGGACCCCTACGCCCGGGCTTGCCCTGGTGACAGCCAATGGCGCTCAAGTCCACTTCCTGGGAAAGGTTGTTTTAACGCTGGATCTCGCAGGAAAGGTGTTGATGCACAGAGTTTTGGTGGCACCACGCATCTGGGATGTGAACGTAGGAATCGACCTCCTGACTACGCACGGCGCCCATATTGACGTACAAAAAGGTAGTGTCATTCACATCAGCGGAGGAGCTGAAATCTTGTGCTCAGATCGATACAAGGTGCGAAGAATCTGGAGTCGATGGTATCTCGGGCCCATCAGTAGCCCACCTTACATGAGCATGATCCGGACATTCAGCTGATATACCACCGTCAACATTCGGGTGCACCCAAACCGACCGGGCGCGAAATGAGTGGCCAGTCCGTTGCTGCCAAGTGCCTATGGAATATGTGGTGAAAAATACTGTTCATTGACGAACCTCTATACCTTCGCTTCACGGACGCCGGACAACCGCGGATAGTAGTTCCGCGATCGTTGGTTGCAGAGGTTGTCAGCCGTGTCCATTTGGATCTTGGCCATGCCGGTCAGCGAAAACCCCAGGCAGCAATTCGACAGAGATATTGGTGGCCTTTAATCCATCACTATGTTATCTTATTTTGCCGGCAGTGTGATAATTTACAGAAAATCAAAGGATTGAATCCAGCACCAAAAGCGCCTCTGCGGCCCATGTTGACTGCGGGTCCGAATTACCTAGTGGGCGTCGACCTTGTGGGATCAACTCCAATGACCAAGACGGGAAACCGGCACATCTTGGTAATGATGAATTACTTCACTTAGTGGTGTTAGGCCGTGCCACTTCTGCAGACTGACGCCGTCACCATTGCACGAACGTTTGTAAATGAATGAATATGCCGGTTCGGGGTCCCACAGTTTCTTCATTCTGATCAAGGTTCCCCATTCGGAAAGCACATTTACATGACGTTTGCCGTTTGCTTCGAATTGAGAAAACCGGAACGACTGCCTACCAACCTCAGGGCGACGGCCTTGTCGAACGGATCAGTCGCACTCTAAAGAACATTTTGCAGGTCATCATCGAGCGCGATCATTCGGACGAATGGGACCAGTATCTAGGAACAGCGTTGTTAGTCTACCGTGCTCGGATCCACTCATCTACAGGATACTCCCCAGCTCTCCTCCGCCTCGGAAGCGAGCTCTGCCTACCCGAAGAGATACAATCACTGCTAGTATGAGCCGAAATGATTGACATGAACGATTTCGTCCGCGGACTCCAACAACGAATCTCTACAGCCTTTCGAACCGCCCACGAAACTCTTCATTCCGAA